TACAGCAGTAATTACCTTCAATTACTGACTTACAGCAGTTGACCTAAATAAACAAAAGATGAAGACATACCTGAAGCTGAAAATGGATCCAAGCAGCGCAAATTCACTGGTCCTCAGTATTATCTCCCTTCACAAACAGTGAAGGTCAGCAATTATTTCCCACAGATTAATAAAAAAAAAAAGAATCAGAAGATATTCTTCATACCTGCGACCCATTTCAGCAGGACAACTATCATCTTGTCGGGGCTGCTGCTTCTGGCAACAGACTGAAGCATACCTGTAACAAGAGTACCTCTTCTTCTTGTTGTAGTTGGGAATTAGAGAGACAGAGTGTTGTAACGCCATGGGAAGCTGTTTATTTGCAAAGCCAGCAGTCGTCGTTGTATTTGTTGTATCAGTTTTGAGCTGTGAACATCTGCATTTTGATGGTCGGCCGTCCGATAGATTGAGATCCTCTGGGCAGAGTGCCTTACTCGGCGATTCAAACTAAGTTGCGGAGATTCTTGAAAAAAAAATGGATCTTTTTAGATTCTACAAATGATTTCGGAGGCTCAAAATGATTAGCACCATCCTTGTCTGCCAAAACCAGAGAGAGGTGCTGATCTTAATCTGAATACGTGTTTTACCATTAAAACTTGTGAAGCTTGTTTTTATTAGAAAGTGTAAGAGTCTACATACATTGAGGCCGCAACTAGGGGTGGGAAAAACCGAACCGAAACCCGGAAACCGACCCTGGACCGACCCGAATTATGATCCCGGTCCGGGTTTTTTCTTTTTAACCGGCCCGGATTAAAAAAAAAAACCCGGACCGAACCGAAAAATTTCGGGCTCATTAATGGGCCTTAAAATCTATAACCCGGCCCGGACCGAAAAAACCCGAAACAATTAGTTTTAATATAAAATTAATATAGTATATGAATATAAATAAAATATTTCCTAATATATGATTATAATCAGAGTGGATAAAAAAAGATTTAGTAACTTTTAGTGACTACAAATATGTTGAATTTGTTTAGCATAATGATGACCACGAGAATATATTTATAGCAACTCTAGTAACTTTTTGATTTATAAAATTTATTTCATAATATTTTTAAGAAACCTATATTATTTATATATGTACATCTTACATAAAATATTAAGATAATTATCTTCTTTAAATTTGAATTGTTGGTGATTTTGAAGACTAATATTTGTGTTATTATTTGCGGTTTGTATTTTTGATTAATTTTATTTGAAAATAAGTGTTAAAATATAAAAGAACAATGACATATTTCACGTCCGGGCTTTAACCGGTCCAACCCGAACCCGGACCGAACCCGGGCTACCAAAAACCCGACTCGGATCGAATATAATGGACTTTATTCCGGTCCCTAATTTTCATAACCCGAGACCTTCCGGGTAATTTCCGGGTTTAGCAAAAACCCGACCCAGACCGGACCGATCCCACCCCTAGCCGCAACCGGTGCATGGATGGGCACTATGAAGGGTTTCGGAAACTCAGAAACCTTTAGGAAATTTGGAAACTTCAAATTCTCGTTTCAGGACTGTTTCCGTAATTAAGAAAAATTTGGAAATCCGTTTCACTATGTTTCGGAAACCTCGGATTCCAATTTTTTTCTTTTTCAAAAGATTCTGTGGTGGAAAATAATTTTTTATAATGAATTTTTGTGATATTTCTCAGCGGCAACACTTGTTACATTTCACAACGTAATGTATTGCTAGAAATGTATTACTCCGTACATTTTATGTTTAATTATGTACTAATATGAAATAATATCTGAATTCGAACATGTAGAGTGATTTTATTATTTAGTTACTAAACAAATTATATTAAAAAAAACATGTGCATATGGAAAAACTTGTGTACGTATATTAAAAAATATTTATAAATATATCTTTATATTTTATAATATTTACGCATTTCCCCCACGTTTCGTGTCCTATATTTTTTAGAAATTAGGTTTCTCGCGTTTCCCGTTTCCTGCTTCTCGTTTCCCGTTTCCGTGCTACTTAGGATGGGCACCATGCACCCACGGTTATATCAAATGTAACTCACGTGATTCGAGATGTAACTTCAAGTTAATTAAAATGTAAATTGCACTCATTCACATGTAACTCGTTGAAATGTAAACTGCTTTTATTGATGTAATCTGGGGTACAAATTAGATGTAACTTAACATATGTAACTTTAGTCTTTTGAAATGTAAAACGTTTTTACGGAGATGTAACTCCATGTATTAATACACACACACACACACACACACACACACACACACACACATATAGGAAAAACTTCCGGTAAGGTATACCTTACCGGAGCCGCCGTGCGGCCTCCTCGTTTTGAGAGCCTTCCCGGTGGAATTTTTCGATGAAATTTTTTGAGCATGTTCTTCATCAAGTCTAGTACATCCATACCAAATGTCAACAAAAAATTCAATCGGGAATGCAGTCAAACGATTTTTGGAAGATAACTGCGTTTTATATGTATATAAAGGGTGCAGTTATCTTCCAAAAATCATTTGACTGCCTTCCCGATTGAATTTTTTGCTGAAATTTGGTATGGATGGACTAGACTTGATGAAGAACATGCTCAAAAATTTTCATCGAAGAATTCCACCGGGAAGGCCCTCAAAACGTGGAGGCCGCACGGCGGCTCCGGTAAGGTATACCTTACCGGAAGAGTTCCCTATATATATATATACATATATATATACTACCTCCGTCCCGTTCGAATGTTCCCGTTCGGTTTACGATGCTTGACTAACGATAAAGCAACTCGATCCCTGTTCACACTCCGCTTATTTTTAGTAAATAAAATTTACATATTTAGAAACTACATTAAAACCGCTACAAAGCCTGATCAAGAAAAGTTCAATTTGATAAAAATTTGATATATAAAGTAAAAGATTAGGAGTGACCTAAGTTGACCAATGAATAGTGAACGGGAACATTCCAACGGGACGGAGGGAGTATATTTTTGTATATTTTTTGTGTATGTATATATATATATACATACACAATCCATATATATACACACACATCAAAGGCAGCTTCACATCGAGGGCGTGGATAGATGGGCGTAAATATGAGTGGGATCTCAAGTTTTAGGGTATGTGTTATGCTGGTGCCCTGGTGGTCATCAGATTTTAGAGAGCAGATGCGCAACAGGTAGGCATAACGATGAATGAGATGAAGAGCGAAGGAGATGAAGAGCAAAGGAGACGAAGGAGATGAGATGCGCAGCAGGATGCTCCGTTTTTCATTCTGTTTAGGGACCGGGCACACCGTCCTCATGGTGTGCCGGTCGTAGGATATAATTTGCGATATACAATAATTTTTTTGCATTATATTTTCGGATATAATATTTGATATAGATATAATTAAAATAACCATTCTCTCCTTCCTATTGGATTTATCAACTTTTTTTTGTCCAAAAAACTTCCCTTAAAAGTAAATAAGTAAATATTTATGATTCTTTTATTTTTTTCTTCACTGCACAAATCGCAATTTAAACTTTTCTTATTTTACTTCAATCAAATATTTAACAATGTTCGATGAGCAGGGGCGGACCGTAGTACAGACCCAGGGGGGTTACCGCCCCTCCAACAAAATTATTTTTAGTGTATATATATATAAGAAAAATAATTTTCGCCCCTTCAAAAATTAATTTTCGCTCTCAAATAATATTTTGAACCCCCAACATGGATTTCCTGGGTCCGCCCCTGTCTATGAGAGTATGAGAGTAATGAGACGAAGGTAATACTCTGTGTATTACTACTACATACTAAATAAAAGAGTCAATGTTCAATTTGAACCGACGTTTTCTCTAAGAACCATTATAAACCAAATAATTTTCGGTTCTCGGCTTTCGGGTTTCATTCATAACAATTCAATTTCGATTTGATTTTTTTCTACTCAATTCGGTTTTTACAATACGATTTTTTGTTCAAAATGGCAACGTACTTTACAGTATAACAATCATGACATTGTGCAAGAGTGTTTTCTTTTGGACTGAAATTTACTGATCAGGTCCGATCTAATCTGCTCTGATCTGGTCTGTTTAAGTTTGATCTGTTCTGGTAATTGTTTGTTCTCAATGTATTTTATAATTGTTCAAATTTGATTTGATCTAGCTTTGTCTATCAAAGTCTGATTTGATCTGGTCTGTTTAAGTTTGACCTGATCTGTTTGTAGAGTTAAAATGGTTAAAATGGTTATAATGGTTCACATAGAAGAATTTGCAGAGTTTGAAAGTTATAACTGATTAATTAAATTGAGAAAAAGTTACGAAGTATTAAAATACCACCTATAATGTACGGGAAAAGTAAATTAAAAATGTGTGGACAAGGCTTAAGTGCTACTTTCCTAAACCAATTCAAAATCAAAGAACTGTTTAGTAAACAATTTGACTGATAAGCCACAAGTCGACAGCCAAACGGCCCCCAAGAGCGGCAGAGGCAAAGTTAGAAAAGAATTAGCAAATGCGAGTACTCCGTAGTCCGTATTACCTTTATTCGTTTCAAAAGTAGTATACTAAACTACTCCTTTTGGAGGGAGGAAGAAATATGAGAACTTATGAAGTAACAAAAAAAATATGATAACTTAGGCATGGACCCGATTCGGGCCGCCCGGCCCGGGACCGGCCCGCTACTGTGCGGGCCCGGAACCGGCCTTGTTCTCGGGTCCGGGTCGGGCCTAGGCCCGGTGGGGGGGCGGGTCCAGGCTCGGGCCTTGTATTTGGCGAACCGGCCCGGCCGGCTCGGGTCCGGGCCGAATTAATTTTTTTTTATTTTTTTGTTCATTTTTGGGGTTACCCGGTTGGGCTTGATGGTTAGGAGGGGTTTGGGGGGTTTGGGGGTGGGGGGGGGGGGTAGGAAAGCAAAAAAAAAATTGACCAAACCGGAGGCCCGGCTCGGATCCGGACCCGGTGGCTACCCGGGCCGGTCCCGGGCCTTCCTTCCCAAAAAAAAAGCCCGGCCGGGCCCGGCCCGGCCCGGGTCCATGACTAGATAACTTATGAAGTAACAGTTGCATAACTTGCATTAACTCAACTTTCCCATCCAAAATAATCTTATCTTAAATAATAAACTAAAAGCTGCTCTTAACATTCATGATCATCTGCAATACAAAGCAAAGCAAATTGCAAATGATGAAAGCCATGTTACATAGGCATAATAACATCTCAGTGTACCAAATGCCGTTGTCACGCCATGAATCACAGCAGTGGAGGGTAGTGGTCAGGGCCTGGGGTCATATGTGTAAAGGTCACTACAAGAAAACTTCAACTTTCTGCATCAAGATTAGTAGCGCTCCACCTGTGATTGTTGATTTCTGCATCAACTTTCTGAATCACATTTATGCTGATGAATGCAAAGATGGAGCTGCCCAAAGTTTCACTTTCTTATCTGTGCTGGATGTGGCCAATATCCATTCTTTCTTGCCTCCTGCAGATGCAGAAAAAATGAATAAAAATCATACTCCCTCTGCAGCTGATCCTATGCAAGCCCACATAGGCATTGGGGCCCACTTTTGCTACTCTCTGCCTTCTTCTGTTTTAAACACTTCTCATCATATATATTCTACCTCTGTCTCACGAAGATTTGCAATATTTAACTTTTTCGGTCAAAATGTCAACGTTTGACCAACAATATATTACCGAGTATTAGAAAATGACTTCCATTAGGAAAGTATTACCAACAATGTTTTTTGTTATAAATTATCTGACAAAAATACAAAGTTTATCATTTTTACTAGAGTACATTGATTAAAAACATTGGCCAAATTTTGACAACTTTGACCAAAGAGACAAATAATGCAAATCAAAGGATACTAGGATGGAGGTATTAGAACAATGTAAACAAGATTCAATCTGCTACCCTATAAATTTCAAATTTTACACTTCTATTTTGGCATTATTTTCAGATTATCGGGGGTGGTAACTTGCCTGCAGAGATCATACGAGGTGACCAAGCCATGTCTGTGATGTTACCTGCAAGAATAAATGGTTAATAAATAAACAAAAATGCAATCTGATTAAAACTAATCGAAATAATAATAATAGTAGTAGTAGTAGTAATACTACCTCCGTCCCTTTTATATTGGGACGGAAGAGGGTGGCAGGAGTTTTAAGAAAAGTGGGTTTGTGTGGTTGATATTAATTGATAAAGTAAGAATAAAGTAAGAATGATTTTGAGCCACACAAACTTTACCAAATATGGTATGGGACAATTTAAGTGGGACTTCCCGAAAGGTAAAACGAGACAATATAAATGGGATGGAAAGAGTAGTATATATCATCATCATCATTACCCCTATGCCGCAAAGGCTCCCACCTACAGTGGGGTAAGGGGGGTCGGATGTACGCAATCTTACCCCTGTACTAAAGCACAGAGAGACTGTTTCCGAATGACCCATAGTGAAAATCGCGTCGAAAAATGCACAGACTGATTGTTACTCTATAACAAAGAAGCGCAGACAGTTTAGTGAGCCATTTTGCTTTATTCCATCATATTCCCAAGCCAAAAAATAGTGAGTCTCTGGCTTCATTGAAAATGATGGAAAATAGTAGTAGTAATAGTAATAATAAAAATATTAATAATAATTATTATAACAAAAAAGAATAATAATAATAATAATAATAACAACAACAACAACAATTATGAGGATTTGCGTACTTGAGTGCTAGAGAAGATAAATATCGGAGGTTTTCAATATCAAAGAAACTAAAAGAGAAACGCTTACCATCATGGGCTTTCTCCGCTGAATCCAAGACCTTCCCCGTATCAGGATGTAACCATTGCAATGTTGAACCATGGGTGACTGCCAATATGTTTCCATCAGGTGACAGGCACATACGGTCATAGTGTAAGGTCACTCCTTTTGCATCATGAAGTGGAATAGGAACCACTTTCAATGTTTTAGGGTCCTCATCAAGATGATATCTAACTGCAAAAGAAAACCACTTAGTATCCTGCCTTACGTTTTTTTCGAGTAATTATGATTAACATACTCACATACCATTGATGTTCCACACCCTTATAAAACCATCCTTAGATGCAGTAATTATTTGATCTGAATTTGGAGTAAAACAGAGCCAAGTCACTGCACTCTGAAAATATCACACAGAACAGTGGAAATATATTAGCCAAACAGTGGAAGTTTAACCAACAAATTACTACATAGAAGTATAAAAAAAACATGTGTGTTGGGGGGGTATTGCGCTAACTGATGTTAAGCATAGTCTTCATGCCAACCCATTATATTTAGAGAAAAAAATGTTATGCCCAATAGAACAATAGAAAGAGGACAACTTGACATGAAACTAATTGAAAGATGGGAGGATTAACAGTATGATCAATTAGTCATTAGAAAGTAGATTACCTTGTGCCCCTTAAGCTGCATAACTTTTTTCACTTCCTTCACAAGACCATCTTTTGAGTACATAATCTCCCAGACCTGCCAACATATATTGCTCATATCTCAACACAAACCCAACTGCTCAAAACTGTGTTTTTCATAGAAAGTATTTCCTTTATATGAAACTCGAGTCATATGGCAAAATGAGCATAACTTCCTCTAAAACAAGAAGTACAACTGTACAAGCACAGGATGATGCTAAGTGGCATAATATTCTCACATTGCAAATATTACTGAGGCAAAAGAAGGGAAGAAAGCTATTGATTTCCAACCAAAAGATTAAGTAGTTAGATCATTTTCAATATGTTTTCCGGTCTGAAAAAAATATACTGCTTACATTTGCGCAATGGGATCAAAAGAAAAACTTTATAGGAAAACTATAATCATACGCACCTTAACATCAGCAGTGAAAGCTGCAGCAGCAACAAAACGCCCATTGGGAGATATAGTGGCCATGTTGTTTTTAAGCTGATTTGTGTCAAGTCTACCCAAGACGTTTCCAGTTTTACCATGAACAATTAAAATATCAGTACCTAAAAACAAAATGGAAAGATATATAAGCTACTCAATTGTTTATACTCATGCGCAGACAGAAAAGAAGGGAACTCATCACAATAATCCCTTTGCCCCATTTTGTTTGTCACCTTAACTATTCATGTAGTCAGTCTAATTTCTTTTTCTTCTCAGATTTTGTGTATCATAGCTTTCAAATATTCGAATTTAAATTTTTAATATAAATTCTACTGGTAATTATTAATACTAATTTTAATATTATTAGGCAAGGTTTAACTTTACTTCAGCCAAACCTTGCAATCCAAAACAGGACACTAAATTGGGATGGAGTTGGCATTTTGTGAAACAGTAATAACATACCTTCTGAGCATGAAACAACAATTGAACTCCCATCGGCATTACCATAAGTAGCCATGGAACTAAACAGAGTGATAATAGCCCTTTGGTCATGAACTTTATGGGATTCCCATTTGATCTCTGGGAGAGGCAACTTGGACTGTTGTGTGGCGCTGGCGTCTCCTTTTGGTTTGTCTTCACCATACATGTAAAGAGATGAACCAGAAAAGGCTTGGCATGCCACAACTATGGAAGATTTTTCATCAGCATATGCAATTGATGATGTCTGAACTCCGGCAGGTAAATTAATCCTCAAAAACCTGAGAGGGAAAAGTAAGTACTTGTGACTATATAGACACCAGGGTCTTTATGCATTAGGTCATTAGGAAAATCAGTCATACTTAAAGCTTTTACTTGAAGCATCATCCAATTTGAAAACCCTCACAGCTCCATCAGCACAAGCTGCATTCAGTGAAGAAAATCAACAGATTCCCATGAATAGAAACTTAGCCAATTTGCCATTATTAGGAAGTGAAATGTTTTTTATTACTTGCTCTGACCATTCTTCTTAGTAACTTACATTTCATAAATAAATGATAAATTAATGTGTAATGCATGCTAAATTTACCAGCAAGAATATAAAGATAATAATGAAACAGGAGTTCAAAACAAACCCCAGATTTACCAGTAGCTAAACTAGATGCATCAGAAGAGAAGCAAATGCCAGTGACAGAATCTCCATGGCCTTTTAGGGTATTCAAATCCAGTGTATGATGCCGCTTGCTCGATTCCTACAATGTAAAATCCACTAGGAAAAATCTCTTCCATTTCTCTGATCATAAGTGAAAGACGAAATCTTTTTCCTAGAATTGAACAATGCTTAGCTGCACATTAGGCTTATACTTATTGAGAATCATCGGGGAAGTTTAAACGGAGCTTATTTGGAAAAAAACTCAGATTCCCAGTTTTCACATAAAAGATCATTTTTAGATTTATTGAAAAAACAGACTAAACAGAATAAAGAACTGCCGAAGGAAATCTGTATATCCAAACCCAAGTCCAGAAATTAGAAACCATTTCACTTGAAGAAACCAGCCATTTTTTATGGTTGATTTACCTTATCGGCAGGGGCGTGATAGTGAGTCTTAGCGTGAGATTTCTTGGAGGAGAAATGTGACTGTTGGGAATGCACAGAAGAATTCTTTTGATTACTTTTAACAGTTTCAGCTTTAGAGATCGCTTCAACTTCGGATTTCCGCTTCTGGAAATAGTTCCCGAATGCAAGAAATGCAATAAAAGCTCCCAAAATCACCGATAGAACCGCCACCGGGACAGCTGCATCCATCTCCCGGACCGAACTTTCAATGGCTGAGGGATCGCTGATCAGAAATGAAGCTGTTCCAGGAGAGTGTGTTCTGAAACTTGAAGCTTCTTGCCAGATTTAGCACAAAATGCGAAGCACCTGCCTTCGCAGTTAGCACTCAACAATGTTTTTACTTGACGGGATTTTGGTCTGGTTTGTCTAATTTGCACTGATATGCTTTGATAATCTTTGGTTTATGAGTAATTTATTGCTGTCAGTTTGATCTTGTCAAAATCTGGTCTGATCCTGTCAAGAACTGAAAACAATCAATCAAAGTAAACACATCATAATAAGTTGAGAAAAGGGCCAAATAGGCCCTCCTACTATTCTGAAACGGTCACTTAAACCTGTCTACTAAATTAAGTGTCAACGAAACACACCTACTATTAGAAAACACTCATATAGGTCCAAATTACTGAAATTCGACCTTAACCGGCCGGTGTGTGCTGACGTGGAGGTTTTGTTTGCCAAACCTGGACGTTTTAATCCACCTCATCCCTGTTTCAGAGGTTTATGAAAAAAAACAAAAACCTAAACTGTAGAAGATCGGTCGTTTCCAGAGGCTGGGGTTTTGCGACACCATGTTATCGTTCTCGTGGAATCCATCCATGGTAGCGAAGAAACTAAAGAAGCGTTTTGCAAGGATGTACAACTGACCCTGTACGGATTTCAACATACATGAGCGTCTGGTCATCTTCTCCAAAAAGTAATACGAGTGAAAAGTAAACAACTTACGATTTAGGGATTTCGACTGACAAAAAAGTAAGTGACTTGTAATATTGTATCTGGTTTATCAATTTGTTTAAAAGATTTCAATGGTCTGACCATATACTGAGAAGCTACATGTTTTAATTTATAATTTCGTGAATTTCAAATATGTTGAGTTTGTTAAATGTATTTACTTTTGGCATGTGTGAATTGTTTACTTCTCTTGTTTCTTTGTCCCTGTACATATTCAATAATCAAATGCATCAATTTTTGTACTGGTTTAATTAGAAGTACTATTAGTTGAAAAGGATACATAAGTGGAGATCACTTGAAAATGGAACATATGTAAAGTATTTATTATTGATGGCGAACTGAGTGGTTTTATATTTTGTGTTTTCCAGAATGTTTCAGATAGCAGAATTAAGAATACATCATGGCGAAATTTTCAGAAAAACACCAGAACTTGCATATGTAGGAGGTGAGGTGGGTACTGTTACACTCGACCCAGATAAAATTTCATATCCTCACCTCATGAAGTTCATCACAGGGGATAATTATAAGAATGTGGAATCTTTATCTTTTAAATTACCCGATGAGAACTTGACAATGTTAAAACCATTATGGAATGACGCATCCACCTTGGAGCTGATAGAGATGACAATGAATTGGGGTAGAGTTGATGTATTTGTTGAGCATGGAATTGATGAGCCCGATCTCATCCCTCTAATGCCTCTGAACTCAACACCATAAGTGCAGTTAGAAGTGGAGGCAGAAGTGCATGACGATGGAGAAGAAAATCAAGAGCACTTAGCATCTGGGGATAAGCATGCTTCTAATGAGGATGAAGATGAATTACATGATGACAACAATGGAGATCCAATGGATTGCCAAAAAAAGGAACAAGGAGGCCTGCCAAAAAAAAGCAGATTGCCCACGGAGGGCAAAATGAACGAGAAAATTAACAAGGACCCTTGTCGAATGCTTAGTGAAACAGTTGATGTAGTTTAAGGGCTTGTTAAAGGGATGTAACCCCTATGTCTTTGTAGTTGGCAAATATGGATAGGCTGGAGTTATATGTGCTGCCATATTAACTTGTTCATGCCTTTTTTGTAATATGTTTTGCTAAAAATAGCCTATATATAGGCAATATGACATTCTGGCTTTACGATGTGTTTTGTAAGAACTTTAGCGTTTTTGTACATTTATCTGAATGTGGTGGTTTTTGTATGGATACTCGTTACTTTTGGGTATGAGTTTTGTACAATGATTATGTTATTTTCTCTGTTTTTTCCTTTTACTATCAAGTATCACCTCTTTTTGTATATATGAATGATGAAGTTTCATGATGTCTTCTGTCTACGCTTTTCGGGGCTTGCTGAATTTGAGCAGGTCTTGATCTGCATGGTCACTGGTCAAAGATTTCCACTTTAAACTAAGAGTTTTAGTTTAAGTAATGGTGAGATCTAGGCAACAAAAATTCTTGCCATTTTCTTCTTTCAGTAACAATAGCAGATTAGAGGGAGGTCATGTATTACTAAGTTGGTCTTTGATACCCATCATTCCTCATGCATCAATAATCTGTTTCCTATGCATTGGTGGTTAGTATTATTGTTTCATGGAATTACATGGTTGACTTCAACCCTCCTTCAAAACCCTCAGTCAAGCTCCTCACTTACAAAAGCTCTATTTGAAGAAAATGATCTTTATGCCACCAGAAGGACCTCTTTGTATCAGGATTGGTGTAAGTTTGGTCTCAAATGAAAACAGTATGGAATTGGTGTTAGTTTGGTCTCATTTCATACTAAATTATACTCATTCTTACTGATTTATACAAGGGATTTTACAAGCTCAAAACAGCCTGCTACTATTAAAAAAATAGCCCCCTGCAACATATGTTAATGTGTTCATATGTTAATCAGAACACATTGATAAATTAACCTGGTGCAATAAATATTAACTTGCTGCAACATTCCAAATAGTTAACCTACTATATTGGTAATAAACCAAGTTGCTACTAGATGAAGTTACAAACCATAGATTTAGGTACATCTTAAACAATCTGGAATCAGCCATTACATGATAAAATACTTCTTAATACAACAAAAGTGATGCTACACTAAGAATACAAACAAAACACTCAAAACATTTCATGTGTTTTCTTAGTTCCTCCCTTGTAGAGCAGTAAACATACACATTGCTAGTACAATTGATATTAGCATACACTTAAGTTTCTTAATTTCCTCTGCTCCAGCTTCACCAACAACTTTTAATTCAGCAACTTCAGCCCGCACATGTATGACTTGTCACTCAACTCAGAAATCCGTTTTGTCATCTGCTTCATGCATAGGGTAGGAATTTCACCTTCTTCAATTGTATTATCTTCTTTCCAGATGAAGAATCCACACCCTCCTTCCGGCATCTATTTACAATGAAATTAATGTAAAGACATTATTTTTATTTCCAGGATATAATTTCACTAGCAATTCAATTTGCAAAAACTAGCAAATCAATAATTTGTATAATTTTATTAACAGACACCCAACTGAAGTAATTACAAATAATTTAGGGGTGATAAAAAAAACTAAGCCACATAATTTTATTAACAGACACCCCTGACAAAATCAAAGATTAAATCGTTGTGTCTCTCCGGATTCAGATTTCAGAACCAAGCAGTAGTAGTATGAACGTGAAATGTGACCTCAATTTTGAAAGAATCAAGAAGAAAGTTCGGATTGACACCGAAGACATTTGAGATTTCAAACAATTTGAATAGTCGATGACGAACAAAATGTTCTTTGAGAACCCTAACTTTTACGTTGTTCTGCACAGAGAAGACTGGAGAGGATGAACGATGATATATATGATGTGGATTAAAGGTCTGCATAAGGGAAAAAAACTCCACATGACTTGGATAAAACGTCCGGCTTTGAGAAAAAAACCTCCACGCCAGCACACACTGGCTGGTTAAGGTTGGATTTGGGTAACTTGGACCTATATGAGCGTTTTCTAATAGTAGGTGTGTTTCCTTGACACTTAATTTAGTAGGAGGGTTTAAGTGATCATTTCAGAATAGTAGGAGGGCCTATTTGGCCCTTTTCTCTAATAAGTTTAACATAAATTTAAATATCCAATAAAATAAAAATTGCATCAATCAAATACCATAAATTTAAATATTTAATACAAAAAGAGTCAAATAAACTTTTCTACTATTGAAAATACAATCAATCAGGTCGTTTGACTTGTTATAGCAGGTTATTCTTTTAAAAATTAAATTAGGAACATTGATAGATCTTACAAAAAATCTTATAAATTTAAATAAATAATCTAATAATAATATAAAAAATACTATAAATGTAAAAATAGATAAATTTTAAAAACATTAAAACAAATTCTATATAATAAATTAAATAACTTGTTAGAATATATTAAATAAAAGATGTACAATAACTCATGATGAAGTCATTTAGGTGAGATTTAGAGTATGTTTTGCATGCACAACTAAAAAAAGATATATTTTGAGTTTTCTAATAATTGTTAGATTTTAATTACTAAAGCGATGTTAAAAGAAAAATGTGATAGATGTTTGATAAAAAAATCGACGGTTTGATTTAATTATGGTTAGTATTCAAGCTGTTTTCTCTAATTAATGTTACAAGTTACAAACCTTCCTTAGATGCTATTGAGTGTAACTAATTTCTCAAAAAAAATAAAATTAAACATAAAAGCTTTTAAAAATCATTGTGCCAAATATACAATTAATATACCATCTCTTCACTATCACAAGCAGGAATTTAATACTAATGGGAGAAATCATTTCACCTTAATTTTATTATGTGATTCTTTAATGGATTTGTTTTCCTTGTATAAAATTATGTCACAAAAGTGATTCCTCAAATCCAAAAGGTAGGAAAATGTACTTAGCTAGATGTGTTTATATAGGTGTAGGTTTCAATAAGATCCTCTCATTACTTCAAATGAAATGTTTTTAAATTTAAAATCAAGTGAAAAATTGCGATATTAACCAAATTTACGAGAATCTTCAAAAATGGAGTAAAAAATGTGAATTTTCAAAGTAGGGCATTACTTTGCTTTTCTAAAAATACGTTGGGGGAAGAGTTTCGTTTCCATCGCGAAAGATTCAATCCAGCCACAAGTTCCCTGGATCATCATCAATATCAGGAAAGCTAGGGTATGTACTTCGAACTATGGATGCTATCGGATCACTTTCATATCTACGCAAAATATCATCTGGAATTTCAATTGTTGCAAACCCATTTGATGAATCTCCGATTACACCATCGCCAATACTTGCAATCCATACAACAAATTTTCTAATCTCTTCAATATTACCTTTGGTATCGGCACTTTGCAACCTTATTTTTTTGTTAGCCACAAAACCGTACAAAACCTCCACATATAAGAAGCATTGATAGTAGCACAGACGATATCATTTCGAGAACCTTTCGGAATCACATGTAATATTTGACGCATAGTCCTATCAAGTGCTTCAAAGCAATGTTTATGGACCAT